GAAGCAAGCTCCCCCCTCTTTCTCTTTCTCTCTCTTTCTCTTTGTGTGTTTCTCTTTCATCCTTCAGGACACAAACCTGCAAGTGCGCTCGTTTAACTCAAGCTGCCTCGACTTGCAACGTGAGTCTGTGAATTTGCAGGAACATTTACAGGTCTGGGGATCTTGTACAAACAAGTGCTTTCTCCTCTCTGAGCAAGGCTCACAGTGACTGCAAAAAGGCAAAAGGAAAGATGTCTAAGCTACAGCGCTTCAGCAGAAAGAAAATACACATGCAACACCCTAAACATCAAAGCAATCCCCTTGCCCCCTCCCGCAGCCCCCATGCTGCCCACTGGAGCGTCACGGGCTGATGGATTTTCCAGCAGCACCCCGGCAGCCCCAGGACAGCACCCCCTTGCATTAGCGTAAAGAGAAAGAAAACAGGCTCCCTGCACAGTATTCACAAATGCTGCATTGGATCCATCGGCACAGGCCAGAGGGAGGAAGAAGGGGAAAGCAAGGATGGGAAGGTGAGAGGTCCCAACCAGCTATTGACGTATCAATGAAAGGAGTTCTCTCTGAAGTGGGCTATTCGAGTAGAAAGAGGCCAGCGGCTAAATGAGTTAAATACACAGGGTCTCTCCTCCCCTGGAAAGCAGCTGGGCTCCAGCATCACGTGCTTACCCCTGCAGCTGGCACTGCCCTGCTTTCTGTAAGCCCCATCCCAACCTTGCTACCTAGGAGTCTCCTACAGAGGGGCCATGAAATTACAATGCAGAATTCTGTGAACCACCATGAGAGAGGCAGAGCGAAAGAGACAGAGACAGGGAGAGAGAAGCCACCAAATCCAGCAGAGAAAGAGAGGAAGAGAGAGACAGAGAGAGCCCCCCGCCCCAGTTCCCCAGCACCCCCTCTCCGGCTTCCCACCATCCCACCTCTCCTCTCCGCCTGTGACTCCACCAGACACGCACGCACACGCGCGCACGCACGCACGCACACACACATGCACGGCAGATGCCAGCCTGCCTGTCGCCAGTCATTGTAGCAGCGAGGGCACAAGACGAGTGGGGGAAAGCTGACGACAGAGTTGCAACCGGAAAGCGTGGAAAAGAGGTGCAGGGCGCTCGCCCACCCACCCGTGCTCTTGTGCTTTGGGAAAATGGTCGCCACTGATGATTAGAGAGAGCCAAGCAAGCTAAAGCCACCTTCCCTGAGATGCCCTTAGTGCCAGAGCGGTGCCACCACCAGTGCTGCCCCCGCAGGATCTGCAGCCCACCAGTGACTGGGAGGGGAGGGTGAGATTTGAGTGAGCAGCAAGCAGGCGGATTGGTTTGGGGAGAGGGAGGGAAGAGAGTCTACAAGCAGAGGACACAAACGTACAAGCTGAGTGGTTTGTACCGGCCTTTCTTGCGCTTTCTCTTTTGACCCTTCCCCTTTCCTCGCTTTGATTTTCTGGAAGAAAAACAAAAAAAACAGAGAGAGAGAGAGAGAGAGAGAGAGAGAGAGAGAAGGCAAGGAAGGCGGGGAGAGAGAGAAAACGGAAGAAAATGCAAGGAAGAAGAGAAAAAAAAATACAGCCATGTGCCTTGCTGGGAGGGGGGAAGCACACGAGGCAGGACTGGAGGGCAAGTCCCGAGGCTGAAGCACAGATCTCCACCTCGCACACACATTCACCAGCCCTCCTGCACTCCTGCCAGCACCGCAACCAGCCTGCCCACAGCCAAGCCAATGCCAGGGGACTCGGCAGAGACCACCTCCAGCAGGGCTGCTGCCAGCAGAGGCGGATCTGCTGGAACCTCGGAGGGGCACCTCGCCCCTCCGGAGAGGGGCGGTGGGAAAGGGACAGGGGGTGAGGGGGAAGGAACAGAAAGCTTCGTGAAAGCATCACGCAACCGCAGTGAGTGCAGACAACCGTTCCAGGCGACAAGCGCGGGCGCACGCCAGCTGACAAGAGGCAACCTGAGTGGAGGGGCTCTCCCCAGGGAAAAGGAAACCACTCTGACCTGATGCACTGCCCGGCACCGGGCCTAGGAGGGGGCAGCCGAGCTCCCACAGCTCTGCTGCAGGGCTGGCGGTAATCCCGACTTGGGGTGGGAGCAAAGGGGGCCTGGCCTCAGCACCCTGCAGACACGGGGAGAGACCTGGTCTACGCAGCAGTGCTGTGTGGGAGAGGGCTATCTAGCTCCAAGGCTCTGCTCACCCACCCCACCTCCTGCTTGCGGTTCAGAGGACTCCAGGAGACCTCGCTGGATGTCTGCTAACATCCCCTCTGGCAGCCTCCATCCTGAGTACCGAAGGGGAAAGAGGGAGGCCTGACCTAGTTATGACACCCAGGAGATAACCAGCAAGCAGCTGTCAGATCTTCCCTCCTTTCCCTCCCTCCCCTCGCCTTCCACATGGACCTGCTAGACAGATGAGTGGACGGAGCCAAGGCACTGTCTCTCTTCTGAAAAATTCACCTGTTGCTCCTGACTCCTGGGCAGGAGCTGGGACAGGCAGGGGCTAGGAGGTGCAGGCCTGGACTCTAACCATGGATCCCTACAGGCCAGTGAGAGCACAGGGAGGGAGGGAGGCTGGAGCCTGCGCTGCTCCTTGAGCCACGTTAGCACAGGACCAAGGGAGGGACATGCAAGGAGAAGGCCCTAGGCAAAGCACCAGGGCTTGTCAGGCAAGTGAGCCCCAGCACTGTGGCAGTTCAGCAAAGGCTCCCTCGTTCCCTGGCGCAGCCCACCTCGGGAGGGAGCTGTCGAGGGGACATGGGGGGACAGAAGGGAAAGCACCATGGGTGTTTCTTAGGCCCTGTTCAAGTCGTCTCACTGGAACGAGTGTCAGAGCATCAGCTCGCTCCCAGCCTCTGCCCTACATGTCAGGAGTCACAGGGAGGCGGTGAGGGGAGGAAAATCGACCTGAAGGGAGGAGAGGGGCACCAATATAACAGGACTTTCAATCCAGCACAAATCAAAGCACACCAGTCTCTCCCATCCCTTCCCTTCCTTCCCCGGGGAGTGCAGAACCAGCAAAGAGCAGGCAAGGTGCTGTTAGAAGAGGAAAGGGAATGCAACGCAGTCCGCGCTGGCTGCTTCACCCACACCCCATCCTCACCAGAGTTCACACAGACCCAACTCTTGCACACCTTCAAACCACAGAGCCACACAGACCAACCGTCCCCGACACGGCCCTGCACAGAGAGGAGTGTTGGCTGCACGCAGCCCGATGTAGCCAGGAGCAGATTTCCAGGGGGAGGAGGAGAGGCTGGAAGGCAGCTAGAAATACACAACCACCAGGAGAGGGGTGAAAGAAGTTCTCTCACTCTCCCGCTCGCTCTCTCTGTCTCTGTTTCAGCCTCATCTCCCAATATTCACCCTCTTCCTCTCCAACTCTGCACCTCTAAATGGCAGAGTCACTATCCCAGCCATGCGCAGTCCAGCTGACCCTCTCACCCAGAGAGGTCACTCTTTCTTCTCGATGTTGCTCCACATTTTGTCACCGTCCCTGCGACTACTGCAGGACGAGAGCTTATTTCTCTACTTTCCACAACCTTCTTACTTTGGGGAGGAAGGAAAGGGAAGGTCGCTCCTTAACCTCCTTCAGGTCACCCGAGCAAATCATCAGATGGAAAAAAAACTCTCATGAAAGCCTCCACCAAGACCCGGCTAGGAGATCCACCTCCCTTTACACCCTCCTGGGCCTCCACCCAACCAAAACCAGCATCACATCCTGCATGGCATCAGTCCTGCCTTCACCAGGCCTCTATTGCCACCTCTCCTTGTAGTCAGCAGAGTTCCTACCCAAGCTGCTGTGAAAGAAGCCAGCAAGTACTCACTCAAGCAGCAAGAAAAAAATTAATAATAAAGAAAGGCAGCGATTTGCAGTAACCAGAAACACCCCAGGAAGAGGGAAGGGAGAATTGGGGCTGCACCTTGAATCCATTCTGGTAGGACACACACGACGGGACTTCCCTGACTCGGGATAAAGCATTAGGAATGACTGCCATGGCCGTGGGTCATGCAAGCTCCAGGTCTGGGGTATGAAGGAAGGACCGTCAGATCTGGGTTTCTGTGCCCACCTGGAACGGATTCAGAGTGTCGCCCCATGCACTACCATACGCCATTTCCAAAAACACCTTCTCAAAGTGAGCTTCTCCAATCAAAGAAAAGGGCAAGGGGCAGTGGGGAGAGGAAACGCCAACCAACCACCAAAAGAGAAAGGAGGAAAGGCTTGTCACTTACTTTTCTTGTTTGTTTTTGACATCTTTCTTTGGTCTGTGGGGGAAGAGAGAACAAAAGCCTCATTAGAAGGGAGCTTACCACATAGGCTTCCAGTATTAACCCCAGTTCCCGACAAGTCCAGGGAAGGACATGTACAGCTGGCTTTGCAGGATGCCCATGGCACAGGTTAACTGGTCCTTCTCAAAGTGTCTGCTCTCCCGTTGCACCTCGCTGTCAGCCAGTGCCAAAAGACCCCAGGCTGCAGGCTAGCACTGTCCACCTGTGACATCTAGAGATGGAGGAGCCTCGCCAGCAAAGGACTTCTTTTCCCAGGCTCAGCCATCCCACTGCAAACCCACTGAGGAGACTGCAGAAGCCTCTGGACAACAGTCCCAACCCAATGTCAGAAAAAAGGAAAGGCTCAGAATAAGTTTATTGCAAGAGGAACCAGTGCTGCTCCATTCTCACCTGCAGTCACATTTACTGTGCTGTAAGAAGCTCATGTGCGCTATGTGCTGACTCTGATGGGGTTTAATTCTCATGATCTGGAATGAAAGAAACAGAAAGGGTCACTGCCCATTCACTATTTATACTCACAGCTCCAAATCAGCCTGCTGCACAGCAAAGCATTTGCACCCAGGTGCTCCTGGGAAGAGCATGGCAGAGTTTGAGCTGGCTTTGAGGCCCCATTCTCCCAGTCAGGGAAGGCCTTTGATCACAAGCAAGCGGCAACACCAGGCTCGTGCCAAAGCTCTGTTTGCTCATGCATGCAAGGTGCCAGCACTGGTGAACTGCCTTGGAGACAGGCATGGGAGAGGGCATAATACCATGGCAAGGTTCTCACTGAGCCATCCCTCGTCGAGGCCAGAGAGACATAACAGAGCATCCAGCCTGCTCTCACATAGAGGCATACTTCAGTCTAAAGCAAAGGCCCAAAGCAAAAGCTCCATATCCAACTCCTTTTCACTAAGCCACCGCTCCTTCCCAGCTGACATCTCACTTTCTCAGTGACTCAACACACAAAATAAATCTGGTGATCGGTGCTTAAAACAGCCCTGCAGAGCCAGACATTGGCCATCCCCCAGCCCCATGTGACTCCAGGGAAATTATATTGGAAGCTATGCATGCATTTGTCAGTCTCTCAACCCAGAACCTGGCTGGACCACTAGCACTAACGTTTGCACCAGAGATCTGCTCAAGTGCCTCTGACCCTTTACAGGCATGTGGGCACACCAGCCGAAAACTGTAATTCAGCAAGGAATGGTAGGAAGAAAACCATCCCTACCTACACCATGCAAGAAGGCTCGGGCCCAGGCTAGAGCCCGCAAGTGGAAAAGCAGTAGGGGGAACCACAGAAGGGCCCAGACAGGTTCTCCACCAGAGTTCAAGCACAGCTCAAATGACAAGGAAAAAGAGCTTGCTGGTAATGACGTAGTCCTGCACGTCTCTCATCCATGTCAAAAAGTGATGGCAATATTTGCAGTGGCCATTCAAGAGGCTAAGGGACAAAAGGGTAATTGGCACCAGCACCATTGTGGACACAAGCTGGGATGCAGGCTGGCAGACAAGGGCAGTGACAAAGCTCTCTAAAGCAGGGTTTGCATCTTCCCCACGTGCCCAGCCTTTGCTATCACGGCCACCTCTATCTCTTCCAAGGAATGAATTCAGCAGCCTCCAAACAAAGGAGGAGGACGCGCAGAGGCAGAAAGGCTTTTCCACTTGACACTGAAGCAGTCTGTTTCTTAGAGCCCCTTTCCACCCCCGCTGTGCCAATGTAGCTAATGACCCAAATCCCCTGCTCTGTTGGTAAAGGCTGACCTCACATGCCCTCTGGGAGAGACTACTGACAGGCTTTCCCCTTTTGCACAACTCAGCTGCCTTCAGAGCAACAGCTGTGTGGACCAAATTCAGAGTTAAGGTGGAACAAGGGCCCAAGGAGTATCTTCTTTGGGGCCTCAGAGATAGCAGCATCAGAAATGCTCTTTTGCATTCTCCAAGCATGAAGTGCTCCTTTGCAGAAATGCTCCTTTGCATGCTCCTAGCTACTGAATCTGAAACAGATTCTCCTCTTAGCCTTGAATAGAGATGGGCAACTTGTCTTTTAAACCTGCATGGTGTAATGCTGGGCACAAGGGTCAGGAGAGAGCTGAGCCCTCCTGATCTGACAATCTCCAGTTCCCTGGGGTAGGCTGCCCTTCCTCTGAATGAGCTGGGAGCTGGGACCTGGAGTGGCTGTGATGGTTGACTTGCTTCCTCCACCCAAGCATGCCAGCTTGCAAGCTGGGCCCTCACCTCCATCGTGACGTTGTACACATCCACAGGGACACATTCTAGGCCCTCATCGCCGCAGCAACCTGCACATCTCATCAGAGGCACACAGGATGGCTTGAATATGTACTCCACCTCATCAGGGTACTCCTGGAAAATGTCCACCAGGGTCTCAATTGTCCTGCAGAAGCTGCGCTCGTAGACTTCCAGGAATTTGATAACTAAAAGAAGGAATGAAAGGAATAAGTTAATGCAAACTCAGCTCGAGAATGTCTAGTGCTTCGCCCCTTAAAACGAGCCAGACAGTTGCAACACATCTACCCTATGCTCTTCACTAACAGTCTTGCATGCCTAAGTCCTTTGTCTCTGCCCTACACACACACACACACACACACACACACACACACACACACACACATCAAGTGGGGAAGAGAGACAATCTCTTCCTACCACTGCTTCAGGGCAGAGACAAGATAGAAGAGCCTCACAATTTGCTTCCCTGGCACCATGATGCGTTCCATGGGTGCCTCCTCCCCAAACCCCTTCTCTGCTATCCCCCATACTCTCGGATATGCTGCCACTAAGTGTACTAGCTCAGCCAAAAAGCACCTGAGGCTGCTGCAGATGATCTGCACTCTGGACTAAGGCCCTTCACCGGTTTGCCTTTTACCCCCTTTCAAAACAGCCAGTGGATGCCCCAGTGGGTTTTAGAAGGCAAGGGGATTAAGCCAGAAGCATCCTTTCTACAGACCTCGGCGCAGAGACACTTCCGAGAACAAGCAGAGGGTTCTGAACCACGCATCTTCACTCTTCCCGTCAGCTACCTCTTTTGCCCATGCAGAACATCCACCTCAACAGGCCACCTCAGAACCACGACAGCACCTGCTACAAGTCACAGCCTCCGTGTCTCCACACTGACCACTTTCCCAGACGAAGGAATCAAGCCACCCACGGAAAGATTCAAAGCAAGCCCACAGCACCCCCAGGACTAACTAGACCATATACTTGGCTACTGAACCACAATGAGGCAGTGTGGGAGGGGGAACAGGGTGGATCTGCCTTTATCCCCTGCCTTCCCTCTGAATGAAGCAAACAGTAACTGCCTGCGATCTGCACTGATTTCACAAGCCTTTCTCAATGTTTCCCAGTCTCTTGCCAAAGCTTCGTTTTGCTGCTTGGTCAAGGGTTGGAGAGATTTAAAGAGATGAGAGATAGGATAGATAAGTACACACGCACAAAACCCAGCTGCTAGTACAGTTCTGCAAACAGTGAGTACCTGGAGCCCTCCAGGCCTCCTAGCTCTACCAGCAGGCAGGCAAAGGAGGATGCCTCAAATGGAGCAGAGGATAAGAGTACGCACAAAGAGACAGTACCTGCCCTATGCTGTTATGAACTAGAATGATCCACCTGTACAGCATGCAGAGTCCTACAGCACCAAGGTTGATAACTCTGAGTGATAAGCACAAACTGCTTGCATCATGGAAAAAAATGGTCTCCGGTAAGCGTTTCTAAAGTGCCCTGAACTTGTGACAAACTGGCATAAAGGTTACTTTGCCACAAAAATGCAAAAGCTGCAGGGCTTGGAGCTCACAGCCCGCAGCTAATTGTTGAAAGTTAATTCTAGGTCATGCAGAGCTGACAGTGCCACAGCGCTGAGAGCGGGTACAAGAGGGGAGGAGCTCCTATCCAGGGAGTTTGAAGTGTCAGAGACCGTGAGCAGCCATTGAAAGAGAAAGTGGCTTGTGAAAGGGAAATGTAGCCTGGCAGGCATGGACTGCTTGTTGGTATTCCTCATCTAGAAGACAGCATGTTTCTGTTCCTTGTCCCTTCCCTTCCTCTTCCCTCCTCCCCTAACTGCAGTATGCCTCCTGTCTGTTCTCCTATCTTGTCTGCAGCTACCTCCTTCCTCCTGTTCCCCATTCAGAGTGACCTTAGTCACCGCCTATGTTCCAACAAGTTGAACAATTTAATATGTGGGAAATTCTGCAGGCACAATGACAGCCACTGAGCTGCACTGTTGATTATTCACACTGTGCCAGCAGAAATGACCTGGGTACTCTGGTAGTAAAGGCACAGTTCTGGATAAAAATGCTTACAGACCTACGTCGAGGGGAGGGAGGGAAGAGAAGAGGGAGGGAAAGTAGCAGTTACCTGTGCAGATCAAATGCTGCTCACCGCAGTAGTCTGGGGCACAAAGAGGCAAAAATCGAAGCAGAGTAGGAAACTGAAGTGAAACTGATTCACGCCTGCCACACTTTCTAAATGTTTGCACCCCGCAAGCAGCTGGATTACACCAGAGAATACAGACTACAGATTGGCCACAGAACAGCACATTCAAGTTCTTCTGCAGAGCCTTTACTTTCACGGCTGCGCCCTGATGACTACACTTGAGATCTGGGAGATCTGACAGGACCAAATCGTTCCCATAAAGAATCCGGGAGTTTCTACCTTTACTTTAACATATGATGATTTTCCAAAGTCTGAATCAGCCTCTGAAAAAGGAAACGGGGAATCTTTCTCCAGCTGCCAGTCTGAACGTCCTGCCACGGAAGGCACGTTGCCCTGATTTTGCTGGACACAGAGCATTCGCACACGAGACTGTGCAATGCTCCACAGTTCATTTGCGCAGTTAGCACCCAAACCGGAGAGTATGACCGAGGTACAGCCATCCTCACAGCAAAGCCCTGCCCCTGCTACGGTACCTACACTTATTCCTATGTACCAGGAGTCGTATTCCACACCTTACCGGGCTGATTCAGTCTGTGCTTCCTTTCCATTGGTTGTGTCAGGGACGGAAGGAGGTCTGTCTTTCATGGGGAAACACAGGAAGGTCACTGAAGGACTAACACTGCTTGGCCTGCTCCCTTCCTGCAATTTGGGCTTCAGCCCACGTTAAAAGTTAATCCTGCATTTAACCCACACCCCTAACCCTGCAAAACACCTTCAGATTTGAGTCAGAGGTTCTTCTTTGTGAATGGAGGGGGAAGTAAGGTTAAAACCCAGTCAGGGCCCACATTAACTCTTCAGGGCAGACACAGCCACAGCAAGCAGGATTAAGTCCAAATTTGGAGCAGTCAAGTGGGAACATGCTAGACTAGAAAAGGAGCAAGTCTATGATCATTTTGCCTCACCCCCCCCCCGTCAATGGCTTAGCAGCAATACAGACACACTGTTCTTTTAAAAATAAAAGTGCAGCCACAAGTGCTGGTGGTTTCCTTTATTTATACCAGAAAATCTTTTCTCGTGGAACAAACAAAGAGTGTTTGTCTGACTCCTCTACAACTTCCCGTGCCACAAAACATGTGGAAGGCTCTCTTGAGCACAAAAGGGTAGGGGCTGAAGCTAAAATTACAGTCTCCAACCAGAGTAAGCCCATCCCAAATAAAAACCTGTCACAGCTCGATGTCTGAGAGCAAGCACAAAATGGCCAAAGACACAGAATCACCTTTCGCCCCAGCCCCAAAGACCCCAAGAGCTTCAGTGGAAGGAACTGCAGGACTGTCCTTGTGGAACAGAGGCACATCATCGTCTCCTCTTCACAGAGGAGAAACTGAGGTACTGAGAGAGGACCTCCAAGGTCATACAGCAGGACAGAAGTAGAGCCAGGAAGGTAATGCCAAGAGTCCTGATTTCTAGCTCACAGATGTATCTGCATCGCAGAACCAGAAATAGTAGCACCAAGGCAATGGCACCAAAGTCTCACCGCTCACATTGCCAGACCAACTTCTCCCGTGATCCCATCAGCCTTCTTGTGACAGGGAATTAAATTCTGTTTGATTCTTCCCCTCCCCGGGAAGGCAGTCGGACACAACAAATGGCACAGATGAGGACACTAGCTCTTTTCTACCAACAGCAGAGGACTGGTTACCAAAATAAGCCTCACAGCAGGCTCCGTCTTGACCCCTCTGGAGTCACCGAACCTTCTTCTGTTGTTGACTCCAGCATGAGCAAGGGGGTCAAGCGCCGGGCGGCAGCCCGCCAGCAAATCAGAAATTTTGCCTGTGCAAAATGGACACCTATCCCAAAGAAAGCCTGCTACAAACCTCCGGCAATGCACATGCAGCCTGTCACACCAATGAAGTTACAGAAATTGAAATCGAGAGCGACAAAAAAAGAGCCAATCTGGGCCCACACTGCTAGAGCCCTCTGCTGACCTCCAGCTGGAATAACGCTGGAGGTCACAACCCGTGGGGACCCTGCAAGACCTTCGTCAGACCCTGCCATGCAGCGAGTGGTCTGCTCCGCTACGAAGGTATGGGGAAAACACGGTCAGGATGGTCTTAAAGCAGCTGATGATCACCTCAGCCTGAAGGCTCCAAAGTCCACAGCCCTTTTACCCCACTTCTGAACTGAGGACTGCAGGCCGAAAGCTGACCTGCGGCACCGCACGGGGCTCCACTGGACAGGGCGCTTGCAGGAGGCGTCTCTGGCTCACTGGCCAGCCAGAGAGACACAAAATCACAACGGCTGCAAAGGCACCACCATGTTTCCTCACCAAGCAATGGTCCTGTCCCTCCTGGACCACCAGCAATGAATTAAGCAGAATATATCAGATCACACTGCCATCCCCCAAACCAAACCCTCTAAGCCTGCTAGCTTAAACCAGAGTAAAAGGGTGTATTTTTCGAGCCTGGCTCTATACAGTGCTTAGCAACATCCTGCCTGGGGGGTACCCGGGACCGTCAGAAGGCACGACTCTGCAAAAATCACCTGGGCTGCCCTTTTTTCCTTCTCTCCCCCCGGAGACCTGCTGCCTGGGGAGAGTCGGGGCGCTGCTTCAGCCTTTGTTTGGGGATCAGCCCTGGCCACCCAGCCGGGCACGGCCAACGCCGCCGGGGAAGAGGTGGGCGGCGAAGATGACAAATCCCTTCCTACGGCGCTGTGGCGAATCCCTAGCAAACTGCTCGCCGCTACTCGGCTCTTTGTGTGCGCGCACGCGTGTCTGTGTGTGTGTATATATATATATATATATAAAAAAATGAGCATGTGTATGTGCACGAGCGCACGCACGCAGTTTTGCTCAGAGTTGTGGGAAG